TCCATTTTGGCTTTCTTTTTGTAAAATAAATGATGATTGTATAATACGTGTTGTTCATCTGAGGTTGTATTTACCTACTTTTGAGAACTGCTAAGGATCAGATGATTTTTATTATGTCCTGATATGTAAAACCATAGAAGTCAAAGAGGGTGTGCTTTCTTTTTCACACAACTGTATGCTGGAATGTGCAGAGTTTCATAGTATATAATCTGGTCCTGATTTCATGATTTTACAGAAAAATCTGAAAAAATTTAATCAGTCCTACTGTTGTCCATTCTATCTGAACATATCACTCCTTTGCCTTCCTTAGCCGGTTATTTTCCCCATTTTTTAATGGGGTGAAATGTCTTCTCATCAATTAATTAGCAAATAATGTTCATAATTGCATATACAGCAACATACGCCTTTCACACTCTGTACAGCTATTTTGTCGATTCAGAATGTTCTCCCTCTTTAATGATCTGACATGGTTTCATTTTCTGGAACTTAATGCTGTAAGCTTCTCTGATTCTTCTCTATAAGAAAAGCAGGGTGAGAGAACTTTATTGTGATTTCTCATCGACTTTTGCCTCCACACTTTGCAGGACACATTGTACTTGCAGGCTTCCTGACAGCCCTTACTGTTTTCCTTCCTGGAGGTGATCTGACATTTTAAAAACTGGCTTTAATCAAAGTTTCCACTTCAAGTTTAAAATAGATAGCTTTATAAATGTGAGGAAGCTGAGGCTGCCAAGAGTCCCTTGCCATTTATCCTGAGTTGAATGTACTTCAGCATTACTGCTTTTTAATAAATATGTGTTGCTTAGGCAGATATCAGCTTTAGGAGGTTTTATTAACCCAGATGAGAGTAGCCTTTCACAATTTTACCACCACTTTATTCAGTATGCTTGTGGGCTATTGTTCATTTTTCCTTCTCCCTTACAGGAACTGTTATAGAGTTCCACTGTCCCTGTTTTGTGGATAAACTTTATCTAGGCATGGCATCAACCATTATATTTGGTTTATATACCAATCTGGTGATTAGAGAAAAGTTCAATTTATGTTAGGAAAGAATTTCTGGATTTGACACTGGATCCAAATTTGATTTTTTCATTGACTTTGTTGGAAAGCAATGATAATAACAACAACAACAACCACCACCTTTTGCTTGTAACACACAACACTTCCACACAGCTATAAGCTTTATCCCTGAAATCTTAGAAACATTTTTATGCTACTCTGCAAGAAACTTCACAGTGCTCAGTGCTCCCATGTGCTGACTGAAGTCACACTCCCATGTGCTGACTAAATCAGGTAATTACGGCATACATGTTGTCATTTTTTTGCCAGTACTCTATCATGCCCCATTCTTACTGCTGGTTCACTGGCTTTGTGTTTGGTAAAGAAAAAATTAAACCCAAATCACTCTGTTAAAAAAAAAAAAAACATAGTGAAATGGTGGCAAGATGTTGTGGTATTCTGATTTCAGCATGAAAGGCCAATGGAAAATGGAATATCTTCAACTTCCAGTTTTAACACTGCAAAGCAATATTTACTGCATTTTCTTCTATGCTGCATTTGAGTAGGAAGTTAATAGGCTCATTTGCATAAGAGCTTCTGAAGAATTTCAATCTTTTATTAATCCTATGATTAACAAACACATCTTCAGATAGAGTTCAGTTTCCATTAATTGCATCCAATGTTACAGAGTTGGTTTGCCATACAGGATTTTTTTTTTTTTAATTTTTCAGTCTAGCCAACAGTACTCCACAGAGCTGACCTTCTTTAGAAGGGCATATAAGCTATTGCCATTTGCAGTAATTGGAAATCCTTATTGATAATATATATCAATTTTCAGGCAAATATAGATGCTTTTGATCTTTAATGTTTCATTTTTAAAAACCAGTAAAGTACCAATAACTTTCTTATCCTCTACTAGAATTTGATGAACTTAGACACATGTTATTTCTGGGAAGACAAAGTTTCAAATTAATAGGTTCAGGGATTTTTATGTAAAATAAGCATTTATATTTTGAGGGTTTCTAAAAAGATGTATGTGTCAGTGAGCATTCATTATGAAAATGACATAGAGCTAAGAAGTGGTGTAGCCAACATTCAGAGAAGTTATCAAAATAGTCTTGTGAAAAGACAATCTTCAAAATTTCATATTTCTGTAATGAAGGATTTATATGAAAATAACAAACCTTCAGAATGTAAGTTTGAAAAGTGAATGGATTCTAGATAGTTATAATGAATAAAAAAAACAATGTAAAGTTTTGTGTTTTCTTCTCCAAAGTCACAGAAAGTTCAACAAGACAGGGATGAACGATAGATTTAAGCATGCAGTGACAGAAACAAAAGGACAAAAATCCAACATTTTCCAGGCAAATGTTCAATGGTGCACCCTTCCAGATTCCATAGACTCCAACAAAGGTCTCTTATTATTTCTTCTCCTCGTGGGACAACTAGTAAACAGTACTGAAATATAATATTTCTGCAATCTGGCATATCTTCCCAAAGCACTATGGTAAAATTATCCACTGGAAATAGAAGTTAAAATTGTCAGTCAAAAAGAAACACAAAAAACAAAACAAAGCAAAAAAAAAAAACCCAACCAAAA